CTTCACGTGATTGACAGTCTCGTCTTCCCTTCCGTCTCCACGGGGTCGTGACGGAGCAGTTGAGCTGTTTCGTTGGCACCGAGCGCTCTCACATGGGAGATGCTGTTGCTGTTGTTGTTGCTGATGTGGTTGTAGATGTGGTTGTAGTTGGCGGGAGTGCAGTGAAGCACTTCAGTACCGTTGCGCATGCTAGTCGTAGGCCATCATGAGAGGCTTCTGCGCCACCCTTTCCATTGAGGTGGCTAAGAGCTCTGAAGGTGTCCCTCTACTTCTCCATCACTCAATGCGGCTGGCTTTACTGATGATTGACCATTCACCGACAGCACAACACTTCTTCATTCCCCTCCACCTGCTCTCCGCTCCATGTGGTTGATGCGGATCACTGACGCATTCGGCTTAGCTGACATGCAACCAGCGCCACCCAAACGGCATGTCGTGACGTTGGGAGGAAGTGCAACCTGAGGACACCAAAGTGCCAATCGTAAAGCCACACGGTTACGATGGCAGGCACGTCAGTGTGTTGAGGCTTCGTTCGATCTTCCAACTGGCGCATTCGGTTTGATGAGGTGGGGATGAAGGGGATTTGCAGTGGAGGAGATGCACCAACGTGTTCGCCCTGTTGGTTGAGAGAAGCAAATATCACCACCTCTGTTGCATCCACATGTGCATCTCCTCCACCTTCCCTTCTCCTCCACCTGCATCTGTTCGAGATGCTGTCACGCAAATGTAGCATTCCAAATGTAAGGCATTTTCAACGTCCTCAGACGTAGCGATGACTGCGCAAGATATCCACGAGTATGAGGAAGCAATAAGAAGCAGGAGGAGGAGGGGGAGGAGGAGGAGGATGAGGAGGAGGATCAGTTAAGAGGCAGTCGACTCATCGAGTGAGAATTCTGCGATGCGTGTGGCTAAGTGGAGAACTAAATATATTGCGTGCATATGAGATGACGTCGTGCAGTTGTGATGATGGAGATGATGGAGGTGGTAGTGATGGTGGTGGAGAAGGCGACGAGAAGGAGGGGAGGAGGAGTGCATGAAGAAGGCGAACATAAATTGGTGCCACCACAGGTGAACAGCCA